AAATAGACGCAGAAGTGAACAGAATTCAGTGTTCACGTGCATCTGCGTGGCTCTCACCGTGTCTACAACAGACGCGAGCGGCGTGGCGCGACGCGACAAACCGCTTTCTCTTTCTTTCCAAAGCACTCGGGAGCTTGCGCTTTCGTGGCGTCTGCCATTGCTAAGCAACCGTGACCTGCAGAGCGCAGGAAGTCGTGGAACGACGACGCGGAAGTTTCAACAAAGGATAATTTCCAGCACTGAAAATCACGTGCAGTAGCTCTGCTACTAAATGTATTTAAAATGGGTATCTCTGTACAGCTGTCGCGTCCGGTGTAGACACCGTGTCTGTGTGTGAGCAAAGAAAACAATCAGTATAAATATAACAATCAGTAGCCTATACTAAACATCGCACATCCTGTGATGTGACTATCACGGATGCACACATCGCGATATCGATGCTGAAACTATATATCATGCAGCCCTAATTGGTTGTGCGATTATTGTCTCCCCATGTTTTCCGTGCTGATGCGGTAGTGACGCGTTCATGTAAGCAGAGGGTGGTGCTGCCAATAACACACCTAAAAGCTGTCAAAGACAACAGAAGAACACACCGTCTCACGCGCACACTTGCATGGCATAAAAAAGACTTGCGTAGCATATAACGGTTACAGTAACTTGGGACGATGTCAAATAAGAGTTCTGTGCGGACCACAAACACCCCCGACTGGGTTAGAGGTGTGGCTGAATCCATATTCAGAAAGGCGCGGAAAACAAATAACGCATTCTACGGAGCCACTAAAGGGACATGGTTAGCCGCTTGCTAACGGTAGCCTGTTACATTACAGTACATAACATTTCACTTACCACAAAAACAACGTAAGGAGAGATGACTGATAGGATGATGGCGAATGATTTTCAGATCCTGAGCACCACTGACAAACATCTAATCTTGTAAAATGTGTGATAAGTACTGCCGAGTGCTGCTCCGTACGTGTGATCGCAAATCTCGAAAGTGAAAGTAAAAAACAAGCGCGCGCGTTCAAAAGTGATTTAAATGCATATTAATAACGGCTCCCTGATGCCCGCAGTTTATATACAGTAAAATTACCCAATGATATAATTGCAACAGAAGATATCGAAGTATATTTTTCGTCCCATCTCGTATCTATTCCCTTTAAGGGTTCCATTTTTTGAAATGGAAATGTCCTAGCCTTATGAGCAGTTGATTTATCAACCCTCTACGCACACCTTGGCCATCGCCATTGGCTAGTACATTTTTTTGTTAACTCGCCAGACTGATATACTATTTTACACACACACACACACACACACACGCAGATAGTTATATACTTTTTAACCTAAACCCACCCCTACCCCTAACCCTCACAGAAAACGTTCTACATTTTTACAATTTCAAAAGTAAAAAAAAACTTTGTTTACTTTATTTTAACAGTTTTACAAATGAGGACATCCACACATTGAGGTTTTTGCCGATTTTGTCAGGCTTTGCTCACTTTTGGGTACAAATTTGTCCCCAAAATATGGTTAAGTAGGTACACACACACACACACGATTCAACCCAATCAGCTTATCTTTGTAAAATGGAACAGCTTCTTAACTGAATGTGCACTCTTAACTTCAGCCAATGTATGCAAGACTCTCGCTCTCTCTCTTTTCATGTGTGAGAAACACAGCGCTATCAGTAAAGCGATGGCGAGTCGTGCGCCTTCACACTAGTTTACGGTATTATATTATAATTCAGACACCAGACTTTTTTTTTTTTACTAGTTGGTAAGTGAGGATAGCAAAATAAAGTAAACGTAACATATTATACCCAAAAATTATTCATACAGTGGACTACGTGTAAAACTAATAAAAATTTGGGACCAAAAATTATTCAGACACTTTGACCTGACCATGCTTTGCTTAAGTCTTTTTCTTTAATTGCTAATGCGACCTTTTTACACCACAGACTGAACAAAATTAAACATTGCTTGGTAATTGGGTGACCTAAATTGGTATTATCGAATTGTGTACTTAAATTTAACAGCTGACAGCTATTCAGCCTAATTCATTACATACCTTTCTATCAAAGTTATCTGACATTATCAAGATGAATTTGCTCTGACACAGTTTAACTCTAAGGTCTTGTCATATTTTATTACCATTTTCTAAACTAACTAGCAAATAAACAGTGATAATGTGAGAAATGTCGAATGTGTTTGAATAAATTTTGGTTTGACTGTATATGTGTGTGTGTGTGTGTGTGTGTGTGTGTGTGTGTGTGTGTGTGTGTATAATGGTACAAATATTCATACTGAAAATGTGTAGATATTGTTACTTTTGAAAGAAACAAAATTACATCTTTCAAATTCTGTCCATTTTATAGAGAAATTTAGTTCAACAGGCAGCGCAGAGCATGATTGAACACGACCAGCCCTTTCTTTTTACTACTACTTATAGCACGAAACACATACAAATTAGGGCTGCACGATAAATCGCATGCGATATTGATTACAGAACCGGCTTTCTGACAAGATGCGCGTTAAATATCGCATGCGATTTATCGTGCAGCCCTAATACAAATACATTCAAATATAGACACATCAGAAAGTATGTTGAAAGAAACAACTTATTAATATGTAACATATCCCATGTAATCAGTGTCTCAACCGTGGAAAAGAGGTCAATAAAACCAGTTGTGAACAATGTCACATTTACCTCAAAGTCATTCAGCGTCCATAGTTCATCATTTCGTGAGAGAAATTACATCTAGAGAAGAGTATTTTGCTAAATATATGCACTACATTATATAGCTTATGTATTCATTATATTTTGCTTAACCTGTAATGTTTATGTGCTTACAAGTCTATGTCTATTATGTTTATATAAATCGGTTATGAAAAGCTTTTACAGCCACTGTGTAAATTATATTTCAACAACAAACTGGAGCAGAAACATAATTTTATAATAAGATCTAGAAAGGATTTAGAAAATAAATCTAAAATGTATGATTTTCCTATCTCATGTTTCCTGATGACTGGGAAACAACAAACACTCATATCCGTAAAGTTGGTAAACATGGACACGGATTAGGCTACTTATTTTGCAAATCAAGTTTCCATCTGTCTCTGTGTTCATTTTCATTGCAATGAGAAGGAAAGCCTGCTGTCTGTGGAACGAAGCCTTATTATAACACAACTCAAGGGTAGGGACAAGGGTTTGACCGATGCCAAAGAACTAGTGCTGAGAAAACCCGACTGTGGCATCGCGGCAAAAAAAAGTTGCAATAGAACACACCGGACAGACTACAGTCGACAGCCAAATAGCTTATACGCTCTGCGCTTGTGCGAGAGAACATAACTCTACCATACCAGCAGGTGGCAGTAGTCTGTATTCAGCATTCAATCAGGGAAACCAGAAAAGTGAGAACTGTGGATATACAAAGCAAGCAGCACTTGCTTTTACCATTGTTTACACCAGTCACGCTTAATACTGACGGATTCGTGCTTTAAGCGCGTGAAGAACTGTTTTGTCTTGAGGGGAACAACAAAACAGCAGTTGTGATCCACTTACCAAAGCTCTAGTTTCACTCTCCGCCCATCCAGCAGGATCGTGGTGGTCTTGTAGTCGATTCCTGCAGAATGAGAGACAGAGAACACTTAGATAAGACACGCACCTGTCTGTTTGCCATCAGACATCACACAAGGTTGTCTACTGAAAAGAAAATACTCTAGACAGGATCGGGAACTCGAAAAGCTTCGGCCGTCAGCATGATTGCATTTGGTGTACTACCTAATTTAATTCTCAGCCAATTCTTCCTTTCATTAGAAGGCACTAAAGCTGAAATGACCATCTTGATAGTGACTGTGCACATGCAGTGGAAAGCTTGACAGCTGCAACCAATCTGCTGTTACCTAATGCTATCATAGATGAAATGTGACCAGGACGCTTCCCATAAGGCGATTACCTTGACTGCTTATCTACATTTATCGTTCATAAAACGAAAAAATGAACACAGTACGGGCTCCATCAACTGAATGGCAATATCTGCATTTTCGGGCGCTTCACAGCAGTTCAGCATTCAAGCCTGTTTTGCATTTTAATAGACAGCTCTGTCTCTAACAAAGGCTCACTGCATCTCTTTTCATACAGGCCAGTGCCTGTAATATTCACCATGCCAAAAGCGCTTGTCTCAGTGGATCATCTTTTTGCACACTTGAAAAATCTGATTATCCGTAGTGCTGACAACATGGACATGGACTCGTCCCCAACCTGGAGTAGTGTGGAGAGTTTATTCATCACAATAAGAGTGGTTTTGGCCATTGTTTCCTCTGGTACATCAGTTCTAAAAAGGAAATCAACTTTGTTCCTCTCTGATTAGACGCAAAAACAAAGTCGCACCCTTCTGTTGTCTATTCCATTTTGATATCTGCGGTTTACTTCCTGCAAAGTCATAAAAGAGGGGACACAGTAGGGCTGCATGAATTAGGGAAGAAAACTAATCACAATATTTATCAAAAATAAAGATTGAAAATCAATGTGGTTAGAATGTTGTTACTAAATTAAAATTAAAGCAAGTATTACTATTGCAGTTTCTCACTGTGGAACCAAATAAGTAAGAAATGTAGAACGTTTATTAGCTAAACGAATAAGAAAGCTTGGTAAAATATGTAAAATAAATAAATTACACAAAGTAAAAATCAGCAAACACTGTGGAACCAAATATATAAGAAACAAATGTAAAAAAAAAAAACGAAATCTTCCGCCATCGTCTTGTCTATATCACCTATTCCTGTCAGTCAGCTCGACTCACTTTTCTCATGTGATAAATGAAATCTGATCTGTGATGCGCGACTGTCATTCAGCACGCTGCATTGATCAGCTGCGTTCAGTTTTAATTGTAGTGTCTGTTCTCTAACTGAACTAAATTATTTTTATTACTATAAAATTACTATACCACAGTGGGCAAGTGATGTAACCGGTGTTGCGGCTTAACAACGTAATCACCGTCAACACCGACTATCGCAGCAAGCCTAGCAAGGAAACCTTAAAGCTTCTCTTTTGTTGACAGCAGCTGGTCAAACAGCAATTTCAGTTTTATTTCAATTAATTGTGCAGCTTTACAGCATGAAATAAAATAATAACAATAGTACTGTAAAATAGAATTACAATATACTACACTGCCATAACAACAATAAATAATTTTTATGTTACATTACAATAGTAAAATCTTAATTTCTTTATTTTCAAATGTTAAACTATTGAGTTTTTATTTTGGCAACAGAAGTCAAGATGTGGTTTTCAGTCTTTCACTATTTTGATTAATTGTGCAGCCTTACAGCAGAGGCTTTAAATAGAGAAAAGGAAGGGGAAAGATGGGATGGCCATCTTTTTTAAGATACTTCGTAAAGCGTTGATGACTCTGAAACAGAACATGTCTGAAGGAGGGTCTCCTCTCAAGCTAAGCTACACAGGCAGCGTAAGATCTCCTTACAGGCAAATGTCAGTTGCTTCTGAGCCCGTAGACTTCTTCAGTCCTCAATTATTAAACATCTACAAGAGAATGTAACAAGAGCGAAAATGGCTCGCACTTAAAAAGAACCACTGGGACTGATTTCCTGCTCTCCATTCTGCAAAAGCTTTGCTCTTAAGCAGGGCAGCACATCAAGCCAAAGGGGCATAGCAATTCCTTCCTCTAGCATCCCTCCTCCTTCGTTCTGGGTAATTGTATGGGCTTGGCTACGCGGCCTGACAAGGGCAGTACAGTGTAATTATCATCTCAGGTTCCAGCTCGGGCCACAGGCCAAGACTTCCCAGCCACGCTGAGCAAAGAGGGGGCTAGTTTTGAGGAAGAGCCTGGAAGGGAAAGATCCAGCAGGACTTGAGGACACTGGAGAGGGACCAAGTGGACAGGGACATGTGTGGGTATGTTTAATTTGATTTAAATAGCCTATTATCAATGGACAGAGGAAACAAAAAATGTTTTCAATTGGTGAATGTAGCGACGTTGGATTTTTTTCACTGCAGGAGGCCTTTGCTTTCAGAGCATGATGCCTTTGTGTCTCATTGTTGGGTTTATTTATGGCATATTTAGATGCTGTGAATTGCAATGTGCCCAGCTACGCTAGTGAGTTAGAACAGGGTGCGTCAGATTTTGAGGGAAATTTCAAAGACTGCAAGCACATGAGTGCAATGAAACAAACAGGAAGGTAGAAAAGCTGGTTTCACTGAGACCATGCATTTCAATAGGAGCTTGTGTGCGTGTTTAAACAGCATACAACATGACTCTGACTTCCATATCTGATCACCACTTTATCATTCATCAGAAGAAGAACTGTGGATGCTCGCTTTTCACTAAAAATTAAACACAATAGGCCTCATTCATGAAACATTCGTAAATATAGGAGTAAATTCTGAGTAATTCGCACGTAAAATGGACCTTCCCAAAAACTCTCCTCCGAATTCACAAACACTTCGTACACATCAGATTTGATAGTTAAACGTGTGTTAATGAATTCCAATCATTCGTAAATAGGGTGCTCGTGCACGCTCATTCACAATTAGCATAATCCCCGCCTATGAATTACAGCTAGCAAATTGCGTGTCCAGGAACGCAGTGGAATATTCTGGTCAACTTTCTCAAGTTTGGCTCCAGTATATTGCATAAATGCAAAAAACACTAATAGGCCATATGCCTAACAATAAATATTCAATAACGTGTGTCCACCAAAGCGTTTTAGCCAGCTGAAAAAAAATGTCAGGCGCTCATTTTAAAACGGCCAGCTGGTGGTGCTGGAGGACGCTTTGGTGGCACAGCGTTTTTCTAGCTGAGACTCTTTGGTTGCTATGACTTGAAATATCCATGGCAGTAACGTGTTACTAGTATCCCATTTTGAAGAATATTACTGAATATAAAAATGCAGTAACCAGCAATATTAACTTCTCTATTGTTGTCCAGTTGTTGTACAAGTAGTATGATTGGTCGGTGTAGTATTTGTCCCGCCCCTCCTCCATTGATTAGACGGCTGGGTAAAAAGTGACAGTGACAAGTGCTGCGTTTTACCCAAAGCTAAACAGTTTATCAACTCTCAGCTACAAAAAAAATAAAAAAATAAAATAAATTCCGTCCCAGCGACCTTGTAAAATATTATAATGGCAGTGCATCAAATTCAGTGTCATCAGTTTGCCTAAATGAACACAGAAAGTTTTACGCACCATTTACACGTGGTAGGGAGCAGGTGTAAATTTCTTTCCTACCAACTAACATTTTGAAAATACGAACATTTTCATGAATTCGAATGTTTAGGTCAGAACGGCTTTACGAACGATTTACACAAAAATTAATTCTGCTCGTGTTTCATGAATGAGGCCCAATGAGAGCAGTGTAATGATGTCTTTTTGAGGGTTTGAAGGTTTTGCTCAAAATTAGGGCTGGACAATAATTCAATATCAATATGTATCGCGTTTGCTGATTATCAATATTTAAAACAGTTGAGTACATTTTTTTTTTCAGGATTCTTTGATGAATAGAAAGATCCAAAGATCAGCATTTATCTGAAATAAAAAGCTTTTGTAACATTATACATGATTCCATTCAGTATCAATTTTATTATTTTTTTGGGAAAGAAATTATAGAAATTAATACTTTTATTTAGCAAGGATGCTTAAAATTGATCAAAAGTGATGATAAAGGCATTTATAATATTACAAAAGATTTCTATTTCAGATAAATAGTGTTCATATCGATATCGGAATTATATCGTATCGACCAAAATTAAGAAATATATCGTGATATCAATTTTGGCCATATTGTCCAGCCCTACTCAAAATATCACATTCAGAATAACTCTTGAGGTTTAGCTGCAAGGCTAAGAGTTTATGCCTCATTTCGGTTAAAGTACTAATGGAACGTGTGACAATGGGGAGAAAGTCTATAGCAGTGGTTTTGTACCTGGACTAGGGCAGTGCTACATATTTTCAAAATGGACTGGTCAACTGATTGGTCTTAAAGGAATAGTTCAATCAATAATTACAATTCTGTCATCATTTATTCTTCGTGTTGTTCCAAACCTGTATGACTATTTCTTCTGGACAAAAATAAGATAATTTGAATGTTGGCTTCCACTGTGTGGACAAAAAAAAAACAAAATGTCTTATGTTCCACAGATAACAAAGTCATACAGGTTTGGAATGACACGAGGATAAGTAAATGATGGCAATTCTCATTTTTGGCTAAACTATCCCTTTAAGGAAGCCATTTATGAGCAGTCTGCTATCAAGTTGATTGCTAATTAGACACATTCCTTATAGGGATGCATTTAATTGATGAAAAGTCAAGTGATAGTAGAGACATTTATGTTACAAAATATTTATATTTCAAATAAACATTGTTCTTTTGATCTTTGTATTCATCAAAGAATCCTGAAAAAATTTATCATCACAGTTTTCAACATTAATAATAAGAAATGTTACTCCAAATCAGTATTTTAACATTATAATAGAAATAAATTACATTTTAAAATATATCAGTACACAAAACAGTAATTTGAAATTGTAATAATATTAATATTTTCATGTATTTTTGATCAAATAAACACAGTCTTGTCTAGCGTGAGACTTTTAAAAAAAAAACATTTAAAAATATTACTAACCCCAAACTTTTGATCATTAGTGTACATTAGACACACAAGGTTCTTGGATTCATAAACATTTAGGCACAGAGCAACAAAAATTAATCTCGAGATGCATTTTTAAAAGTTGGACTATTTTAACTTGACATGAAGTCTTCAAAAAACACTTAAAAAACACATTTCTGAGAGAGTCTAAACAACTAAAGTACACTACCAGCATACTAAATAAAGCACTGCCACTAAAGATGTCAAAACGCAAGTTATGTAGCTAAGAAAAAAAATTAAGATAAACAACCTCACTAATCATCTGGCTGTTTGTAGTCAACCACCATGACCCATCGCTAATATTAGACACCAAATGGCTAGCGAAAATAATTACAAACCACAAAAATCCATTAAAGGGGTCATATGATGCGATTTCAATTTTTCCTTTCATCTTTATTGATGTTCGTTCACTTAGCACGCATCATTTGGATTAAAACTAAATCGTAAAAATAAAACCATTCATAGGGGCATTCACTATAAACGTCATTTATTTTCAACCTTAAGCATACACGACTTTCTGGCGAAAGTAATCTAGCAGCCTGTGTGAAATGTGCTAGTCTGTACTACTGTCCTCTCGTTCTGCACCAGTACAAATACGTGCACGCTTGCTTGAGTGTTTCTGCATTATATGAGTGGCTTTTAAAAAATGTACAAATGCAATAAAAATATCGGTATCGGTACTCGGCATCGGCAAGTACCAAAAATAAAAGTATCGGTATAGGGCGAGTACTGGAAAAAGTGGTATCGGTGCATCCCTACCAAATACACAAAATAATGTTCTTTTTAGCAGCATCATATGACCCCTTTAATATACTAAATGATTAACATGACATAAGCTGAAATGGAATAATGTAAATTCCGGTTTCTAATTGTCTCTTTGATGACATTAAAAGGTTTCATGGTCCTGCCAGCAATAATTAACCAAACAAAGCAAAGAGGATATGGGAAAGTATATACATCTCCTCCTTTTTAAAGGTCAACGCGCCCATTTATCATGCTGTCCTAACAATACACAATTATATAGTTTGTTGCATTTTACATTTATTTCACTTGCATCGCTGTTTCCTCACAGTCCGTGACTCAATCAGAACAGAACAGATAAATAAGGAAAGGAAAAGCACTGTCTAAAGGGAAAACACTCTCTGGTCATGTTGTTACCACTGTGCTTGTCTGTGCCAAATCCATCTGCCGATCACTAGCAGCCAACCAACATGTCTGCATCTGCAACTTTAGACTCTAAATATTTACAGATGTCCACTCAAAGCCAGTGCAAAGACAGATCAATCAGAGTAAACAACCAAAGACCCAATTTATATGAATACAAACTGCACAATCTAAAACTACTGCATAAGGCAGTTTAACGAGGCTTCTCTGAACTCAAGAAATCCAAAATGAAATTTGTAATCTAGCAGATGCGTTTATCTAAAGCAAGTTACAGTACACTTATTACAGGGACAGTCCCCTTGAAGCAAACTGGGGTTAAATGCCCATGACCTTTGGGGTTGCCAGTCTAGATCCTTAACACCAACCACATGTCCTCCTTAAAAAAAAATATAAAAGCAGTTTTATATAATGAGATGAAGTTTAATCCAAAAAAGGACGTTTTTCTATTCATCAGGCTTTAATATTCCACCTTGCACACTACCAATTCCTCTACACACCCTATGTATAATTAATTTTAAAAAAAAGCCTCTCAACATTTAAGCCATCTGAGCACGTCAGGATGGCATCTCCCTCAGGGAAATATATATGCCTGCAGCATAATTCACCATCGCTGAAACCACGGACAGATCGTGGAGCCATCTGTGTTGATTCTGAGTGATGGTACAAGGCAACTCGATTGAAGCTGGACCAGCAAGCTCCCCTAGGAGATCTCAGAGAAGAGCCATCACTGAGATCTCTCACACCCATAAAACACACACTGTTCCCTAATAGCTTCAACCGACAAGATAAACAGCAGCCCATATGTATGAAAAGGGACAGAAGGGTAAACCCAGCTCCTGTTCGCCTGCACACATGAGGCTCATTTGGATATGAAAGGCATATCGGTCTATAATTGGTCTATCACCTCACTGGCTTCAGCCTAATGACAGAGCGTGGATGATCTCATTACAGCAAATGGAAAGCTGTGAAATAAATCAGATCAAAAGAAGCTTGTGCTTAACCGGTCTTGACGGTGTGCTGTACTGACCTGTTCAAAGAAAACAGACATACAAACACACTTCACACTTCTTAGTTATATTTACTTTGTGTGTCTTGTATCCTGAGGGAGATCTCTGCACTGGAACACTCGCCAAAAACATCTTGTATAATCTTGACTAATACATAAAAGATTGAGTAATAAATAAGTCAATCAATATTGACTTTATGACCAATACTAATAAATATTATTTTTGATAGTGTCTTAGAACTACAGATAGCTACTAATAACGGGTTTGACCAATATTCATCTCACACTTTTTAAGTTAAACCTACCTTACCTAAAGAAAAAAAAAATGTACCATTGAATAAGGGAGCACCTAATAACAGCACTCAGCTATGCAGTAACTATGTATTACAATAATCATAACTGGATAATTACTCAACTCTTTAAATAACTGTCATTCTCAAGCAAGACACGGTATCTGTTATTGGGCACTTATCAGTCATAAAAAACAATATGGGTTAATCCAATTATTATATGTTTAAGTGTCCAATACGCAAAATGTGGAACTGATTTTAATGATTTAATACGTTTTACACAATAATAACTTGCTGATCGTTGTACTACAACAATCATATACATAATACATATTTTATTACTAATAATATCGGATTTATTTGTGATATTATATTTATGCAAAGTTGATTTGCATAAATCGTTACATGAAAATGAATGGCTAGTAATTAAAAACTTCACCACTTATTTGTGAAACAATAACCAATTAAACTGAAGTTGGTTAATACGGTTTAAAAATAAAAAATATTGTTCAAACCGATTATCGGATCTCTTCTAACAAACATGAAGTGTATGTCATACAACCACTGAGCAGAAAAACGTGCCGCTTTTATATAACAATCTAAATGGGCAAAAGTGAACATTGCACAATCCTGCAAAAGATAAAGATAATAATAAACTGTGTTTCCACCTCCTGTAAGTCACTGACAGCAACAATATGGCACCCGCAGAATGACTCATCATATTCAAAAGAAGAATATTGACCATGTTAGTTGGTAAACCTGTTAAAATCACAATTATATGAATGGCTCACGGAGCGTCAGCCTTGCTGTGAGATTACTCTGGCTGAAGGATGTGTTACTCGCAGTCTGCGTGAAGATGTGTGGGAAGTGTTGACTAACTCACCGCTGCTGTAGGCATATGGAGACTCAGCAGATCCGTCTTGAAGGCTGTCCAGGATCTCTCCTTTACCCACATCGCTATCTCCCACCAGGAGGAACTTGAGCAGGTAGTCGTAGCTCTTCACAGGGCTGCCCTGGGCGCCCATGTTTGCTCACATCAGAGCCAGAGCAAAGAATAGGAGACAACCGTGTGTGTCCCTCTCTGATTCCTCCAGAGCTCTGGGGGTCTATGAGTCTCTTGTGTCAGGTCTATCTTTGAAAGGGTGCAAGGCCAGATCTGCAGACAGACCAAATCAAACCATTTCCCTCCCTTCCAGTCCAGACCCAGAAGTGTTTAGTCTTTAAAATATCCAGTCGTATTCACTCTTCCAGTCTTAAAATAATATCAGTGTACAGATGCTTCAATGGCTGGCAAACTGAACCGCTAGGTTGTTTACATTTCTTCACACGAGCTCAAATCATCGTTAATGATACAAAATGAAAAGAACACACGTAAAAAAAACATTTACCTCATCGTGGCAAGTTATTGATATGATAGAAAAGCAATTGAGCTATCGAGCTAGTGCATTGTTAGCATGCGCCTGCCAAGCTGTCAACACAAAGAAATAATCTCATTACAATTTTATCTAGAAACCACCTGCACGGTTATGACAAAATTACTAATAAGGATGTATATTTGTTATCGTAAAACTAATTAAAACCCAATTAAGATGAGCCGTTGTTTAGATGTAGTAACACAGCATCGGCTAGCGATACTAGCTATGAGCCTAGCGAGTCAACAACAGGCGCAAAACATTGATTTTATACCATAATTCTCTAGTCCAGCATAAACTCCTCACGGTTTCAATATATCCCTGGTGAAATGAGAGAAAGAAACGTTAGGCTGACGAAATCAAGAAGGATATCCACAGTCGCGCTGGAGTTAGCTTGAGCAGTCGATGCTAGCGCGTCACGGCTCCTTTTCTGTTTTCCTCTGAATAACAAAGATTGATGAAGGTTCACGCGTCGCGTCTCGGGATCTATGAGCGTTATCAGGCGGCGGAAGGTGAGGGATTATTAAACGAGAATCCGAGCCGCTGGATATTATTGCTTGTGCTGTAAATGCTCTCGGATACCCAAATTTGTCCCATGTTCTCTCACAGAGGAGAGGAGAGGAGAGATCACACACACTGTCACACTGAGCTTTCACCTCTGCGCTCTGACTGACTGTACCTCCCCCTACATACACACTCAGGTTTGTTTTTGTGAAAAGTGGGGACATCCCATAGGCGTAATGGTTTTTATACTGTACAGACCGTATATTCTATTGCCCTACACCAACCCTACCCCTAAACCTACCCCTCACAGGAAACTTTGTGCTATTTCAGATTTTCAATACACTTCATTATGTGTGATTTATAAACGTTTTGAAAAGTGGGGACATGGGGTAATGTCCTGAAAAGTCACCTTCTCCTTGTAATACCTATGTCATACCTTTGTCATTATACAAATTTATGTCCTCA